TAGAAGTAACCGATGAGGAAAATGTATTTTGAAATTTTACCTTAAAATTTTATCTTACTTTACCTCTCCCAAGTTTTAACTATGTGCCACTGTAGGTTTGAAAATATCTGCACACCTGTGATTCAGTAAAATTTCTGGATATGTTACTACTAACTACCTAATTTGCAGTAACTGCTATTCCGGAATACAACCTCCTTCACAATGCCTTTGTTTGGTATCCTGTCAGATGGATTTGTGACTCTAGGCTTGAAATAGTGAACTTCTGTTTTCAAGATATGAAAATCCTCAAACGGTAAGAAATCAAAAACTTGAATCCTTTCCAATTTGCTTGCACTACTGGTAGAGATGCTTGTCCAAAATTGAGTGAAATTATCTTTCGTAAGTCAGTTAACCTGTGGCAAAGGCCACAGCAAAGCCATGGCAAAAAGGAAACATTTTTTTCTACCTCAGGCCTTGTATCTTACAGCATTGGTATCCTTATTCTCAGGAAAAAAAGGAAACAAAACAATAGGTCACTGAGCTTCACTCTTTACTAACTAAATTTAGTATGCCAGAATCTGTTTGCAAGAGTCACAATCTCCCTAGCCTATTTTAAATTTTTTTTTTTTTTTAGATCCACCTCCTTGAAGCAGAAGTTGCTCTGCATGCAGTTCTCAACTCCAATGGCTTCCTACTCATGCCCTGAGCATCTGGATGTCACGTACATATTCAGCTGATTCAAATATAACATGAAGCTATTTCTGTGCATCAAACCAGATCAACTGCACGGACCAAGCACAGTCCTCAAGAACTCTTGCAAGAGCTCTTCTTTTATTTTCCTTTCCCCATGCTCATAAAAAATTCTATTATACATGGACTTAGTTTATTCCAGCTGTCACTGGGGTCACTACTCCTACTCAAGGTCTCACTCAAAAATATTCAATAGACTTCCGTGAACTCTTGAGCATCTGAAGCTCCAGATTTTTGCTGTTGTCTCTATGGTTTTCTTTTACTTTCTTTTTTTTTTTTTTCCCTGCATTTTAGCATCTCTTCTGTTCCTGGGGACACTGAGTGATTACTTTTAGATCCCTGTAAAATTTCTCGGTATAATTCCCTACCTCTTTAACAGCCTGACTTTTCGATAACAAATTTTGTTTTCTTAAATAAAGCAGTTAGTTGGTGCAGCACAGAGAAAAAATGAGTAAGTGTTAAATAGTACGATAGCTGTTTTCTTGCTCAACTATTTTTAATTCACTTTCCTACTTTGTGATTTGATTATGGATTTTAAAAATTTGGAGTTTTCCAGACAAACACAAACTCACTCCTATGGTCTTGCTTTCCTACACTGAGATACAAGATATAGCTAATTCTTTTCCTAAGAAATAGTGGAGAGCCTCAAAACAGAAAAGTAGAACAAGACAGGACCTGTCATGGATGCTGCCACATATACTGGCCACAATATAGAGAAGTTCTTATGGAAATATGTAAAGGGAGAGTGGCCCAACTAGATGCTGTTAAACTCCCTACAAGGAGAAGCCACACAACAGCAAGTCATGGTAAACAACCCCTTCTCCTAGGGCCTAGGAAGCGGTATGCCAAGAGAACAGGACTCACAGCAACATTTATACCTTACACTGAACACCAACCACCAAGACAAATTTTGGGAACTGTTCTTTTCAGTAACTAAGTTTGCAAAACCTGTAAGGGAAAAAGCCGACAACGATCCTACAACCCTCAGTTACAACTGAGGTCTGTCTACTGCTGCTAAAAAAGAACAATTTTAGAGTTACAGAATCAAACATGAAGAGGACAACAGTGCTTAGATAGTTAATACAACCTAATAGTTCCTTAAGGTACCATTTAACTACCACATTAAATACATCCGAGGGCTGTGCTGCCATTCAGAGGGACCTGGCCAGGCTGGAGAGCTGGGCGGAGAGGAGCCTCCTGAAGTTGAACAAAGGCAAGTGCAGGGTG